GTCTGCATCAAAGCATCAGCGTTATGTCGCAATCATCACCAGCTTTCAAAATATCATTTGTCAACGGTGTGGCAATTAAGTACATGTGAAAAAATATTTCAACACCGTTCGAATTTGCTGAGTGTTTTGATTCGGTTTTTTGTTATTTGTCGCCAATTAAAGAGCAAATGCATATGATTATGTAAATAAATATATTTGACATTATTTTTTATTTTTACTATGTGTGTGGTGTGAAATTATGCAAATTGATCTGGCTTGGGAAGAGTATTCCTGAGTGAAGCAAAACATAAATATAATAAGCTTCAAGATAAAATGAAAGCTAAGCTTAAGCATAGTACATATCTGTATAGGGAATTCATAGACCTTAAAGTCCAGAAAATGTATCTAAAGCTTTAGACGCGTTGAAATCCTTTATATTCATTTTAAACAAAGAAACAAAGAACTCTAAACAGTTGAATCAATTAAAGAACCGTATTTTCAAAGTTAAAGAAATACAAATATGATAAATTTGCATCTGCTCAGAAGAAAATACAAAAATAATTAAAATGTACTGAAATTCATATAAATATTTTCAAACCCGGCCTAAGTACTTGAGTGGGTAGCAGCACTTGAAAATATATGAAGAATTTTGGATTCGCATCCAGGCTAAAATTTAATTTAGCAAAACTCGGCCACAGTGGCCAAGTGGTTAGCACTGCGTTATGCCATTCAGAAGTCTTGTCTTCAAATCCTGGTACCGTACTAACATCCAGGGAGTGGCCAGAGACGATTCTTTTGCATTAGGCTCAAGTAACTCACGACTTCCGGTCTTAGGCCAAGTATCCCTTGGGCAGCCAACAAACATTCACTTGTGCGGTAGAAGGTGGGTCCTTGTGAAATTTACCACAGCGGCCATTTAATGACCGCAAATTTTTTGTCGGATTCATGGTGGGAGAGAGACTCTATCGCCGAGTACTGGCATTCACTTCGTTGGATGAACTTCTCGCTACCATCCCCGCCAAACTTATACGGCTGTGTATACTGAACTTAAGTAACAGTAAAAGCTCCGTCAGAATCGGAAGAACCTCTCCGAGCCGTTCGATACCAAGCGAGGTTTCAGACAGTGCGATCCCTTATCGTGATTTCTTAAATTTATTACTGAAAAAAATAATACGAACGAAGCAAATGGGTCTGGTAGTGAATGAGGGTAAGACAAAATATCTCCAGTCAACAAATAAACAATCGCAGCATTCGCGACTCGGCTCCCACGCCACTGTTGACAGTCATAACTTTGAAGTCGTAGATAATTTAGTCTATCTAGGAACCAGTATTTACACCATCAACACTGTTAGAATGGAAATCCAACACAGAATCACTCTTGCCAACAGGTGCTAATTTGGACTGAGGAGGCAATAGCAAAGTAGAGTACTCTCTCGGCGAACGAAAACCAAAGTCTAGAATGCGCTCATCACACCCGTCCTTCTAAATAGCGCAGAAGCGCTGACGATATCAGTAACTTATGAGACGGCTATAGGAGTCTTCGAGAGAAATGTTTTGCGAACGATTTTGGTCTTTTAGGAACTGGCAATGTCAAATACCGCAGAAAATGGAACGGTGAGCTGTACGAGCTATATGACGATATTGACATGGTTCAGCTGGCTAGCTCATGTCGTCCGAAGCGATGAAAGCGCTCCAGCTTTGAAGGTATTCGATGCGGTACCCGCCGGTGGATGCAGAAGAAGAGGAAGACCTCTACACCGCTGGAAGGATCAGGTGGCCTCATTTAGTATTTCCAACTGGCGCCAAACAGTGTAAATAAGAGATGAATTGTGCGCTATAATTAGTTCTGCTATAATCGCATAAGCGGTGCCAATGCCAATAAAGAAGAAAGTCAAAATAGTTCAAAAAATGTTGAGGTTCTCAGAAACGAACCATAAACTCTTCAATATATATGTTTCATACGAAAAACCAAAATCAAATGCAAAAAACAGAAATGTGACTCTCTCTATAAGAAAATGGTATGCCACTTTGAAGTAATGCAAAATCGGAACCTGGTCTGACGAAGCTTTCTTAGAAAGAGGTATTTCAGGGATCTGAAATCGGGGATATTCTTCCCCTCTTCACACTAAAGCAAAAAGCAATTGATTGACAATACTGACTGGTACGTTTGCTTCCACACACTTAAACCAACAGAGAGGTCGGCTTGATAATCATGGGGTTTTTGGATCATTTCTAAGACCAACCATTTAAAAACATCTGGAAACCCGTCGTAAATATTGTTTTTCTAGGAATCATTTGTATGCACCTTAAAAAACAATTTTCTCTGATCTGATGATCGTAGTAGCGGAGGGAGTGCCGTTGCCTGCTCCCATTGGGTTTGGGTCCTAACTAGTGCAGAGCGTTTGAACTGGGAGATCAGTGCGTTGGATTATTTGTGACATGATATAAAATCCATTCTAATAAAAAGATGCTTGGACAAAAAACTTAAGTGATTATTAATCACTAATTATTTGTTTATTATTATTTTACTTAAAACAAAGTTTGAATATTTCCACTTTCTCTTTGGATTTAATAATTTCTATAACTAATAAATGTTTGAATCTTGATCCAATTTCCCAACATCAAGTACTGCTTAAGTATGAAGGATATAAGCAAAAGCATCCTTTTGTCCAATTAACAATAAGAGCGAATCCAAAGCGGACAATGTAGCTGTCGTGTTGTCGGTGCAATATCAAAGGCGTGCGTGTAAGTGAACAACTTCTGTGCACACCTCTCAAATAAATAAAATTCATGCACATACAAAACCGCTCATAAATTTAAGCCTCCTGATGTGTTTCAGTGTGAGCTAAAGTGCCATAGTGGCAGATTGCGCCAATCTGATCAGCAGCTGATATTCCGATTGCTGTTGGTATTTAATACAAAAGTATTTAATAACATGTTAACCCATGATAATGAACATATTGAATATTTTTTCAATTCCTGTCCACTTCAAATCAATTGTGTCATTGAAGTGACCCAAGAAAAGCGTGTAGTTATCGTGGGATAGGAAACAAAAAAAAAAAAATATCTTGTTTTGCGGGATGTTAACTATTTTCGATTGTTGTTGTTGTTTTTGCTTTATTGTGCTGATTGTGTTATTTTGGCAGTGTGCACTGTGACAAGGCCCAGAGGTCAAGCAGATTTATAACGCTCATTATGAGTAAAATGATTGTTAGAGCCGCTGAGATGATGGTATGTGTGATATGAACTGCAGCAGAGAGTGTCACACTACACACACGTTCATACAAATGTAGGAACGTAGTTAAATTGTCCGGCTGCATTGATTTTTCTTTTTTCTTTTTATTTCAAATTCGAATTTAGCAAAAGGTGTTAGTTATGCTTGCACAAGTTGGCGTGGACACACAATAATAGGAGTTCAATTGTTAGAGGATAGTAGATGTGGCGGGGAATAAATAAATAAATTGCTTTACTGGCGCCTGTGTGGCCAGCATCGTGAATGGGAATTGAATTTGAAAAAAAAAAGTAGAAATAAAAAAAGTTAAGAAATATCGATTTATATTGCATTGTTGCGTGCCGCTATGGCTATGTGGCTGTGCAATTGGTAACGTAGATTTTATTTGTAGCAAATATCTTCACATGTTGGGACTGTACCTTTCATCAGTAATGATACTTTTTTTATTGCAACTGAGAGGCCTGCTTTGTTTTGTCAACTTCTGTCACAAGTTTTTTATTTACATATTTTTTATGACATAAAAAACAATAACACGCAAGTTTTTGCTTTCTTTCTTTATTATGCTTTACGAGTTCGTAAAAAATTTCAGAAATTAATAAGTAATAAATATTTATGCTTAGCATAAAATATACAATATTTGTAATTTTGACATATCACAGCCTAATTGAAAGAAATTACTAAATTTTTAATAATTAATTTAATAAATATTTAATATATAGTTTTTAATTCGACAAACGAGGCAGATTAACTTTAATTATATTCTACATAATACTGCATACGAATAAAAAAGTAATAAAAAAATAAAAAGTTTTTGGAATAAATAAATAACTTCGAGTGGCAATTACATTTAAATTTTTATGAAAATTTTCGCAAAGAAAGGGAGAAAAAATATGTATTTCTTAAACTGTAAAATACGATTTTAGGATAAAACAAATCATTTCGAGGTGATTAAAATATTGAAGAATATTCCTATGAAGGTCTTTAAAGTCAAATAAATGTTATTGAAAAAATTTTGTATTTGCAAAAACAGTCCAGACACTTTCAATTTAATTAATTTTCTCATTTTAACTTAACTTTTCTTTATTTCTCTAAAAGCACTAATTTTAAAAATTGTTTAAACAAAAAAAATTTCAAAATCGTAGTAACTGAAACGTGTAATAATTACCTGCTGATATTTTTTATAAATTAAAAAAAATACAAGTGTTTTTAAAAAGTTGCACTTCATCGATTAAAAACGACTTTTTTTTAGTACAGAAATTATCGATAAACAAAGAAATTATCGAAAGAAAAATCCGAGTTTGTTGAAAAAGTAAAGTTGTCGAGAATTATCAATTTTATAAAATTGCGATTGAAAACAAAAAATTGAAAACAAATTCGAAGAAAAATTTTATGCAATTATTGTTTTATAACTTAAAATACTTATAAAACCTAGAATTTTTTAAGCAATTACTCAAATAAACTTAATTTGACGGTATATTAAGATATTGTATTGTAATAAGGACAATGAAATAACAATAAAATGAATTGGATTTACATATAAAATATTTTGGAAAGTGTCGATTATTAAATTCTTATGACACTGAAACAAATTTAATGATTTTTTTTAACTAAAAGTCGCGAATGTCTTTAAGAGGCATATAAATATAAATATGAGTACTTACAAATTTTAAAATGACAATTGATTGTGAAATTTTTAGTGTGTATATTTTTAAATAAATACTGAGTTGAGAATCTTTTCCTTCGCTTTTAATATTTTACATAAAAGATAATAAATTCAACTGAGGTTTAAAGTTGCTAAAAATGTACCAAATATACGTGACTAAGAAATTATTTTTCATTATTTTCGATCCTAACTAATTTTGACTTAAATTATTCCTGAGCTGTTTTATTTTAAATTAAGCATTTCGAATATTTTTTTCCCAAAAAATTGCTGTGGATGACAGCACATTTATAATTTTATATATTTAACTTTCTCCGCTCATTGTGTAATCTATTTTTCCTGTGTCTTCTGCTCGTATTTTTATTGCCACTTAATCCATTATGCGGAATTAAATGTTGATGTAATGTTAAATTATGTTTCTGGGACTGCTGCACACCTCCTTTAATATTACTCCCTCCATTCCTTTGCTTTCCACAACGCGTGTTTTTATTTAGTATTCTACTCATATTCTTCAGAGATCGCCATAATCTTTTATACAACATATTTATATCTACAGGATCGATACTTTCTTCGCTTGAGCGTATATCCGTTCTCAAGTGCATATTCTTACGGATCTCTGTGGCATTCACCGTTAGTACCAGATGTCGTTGCGACAGGAAACTGGCTGTCATCTCAAGATCGCAAAGTAAACTTCGTATTGTAATGATGAGTAGTTCTAGTCGCTTGATACCAATGCTTACTTTGTCTATATGCTCTTTTGAACTACTCCATGTATTTTGTTGTAGTGTTTTGTGACTCATAGCGCGTCCATGCAAATGATCAGCAGCGATAAGATAAACTTGCAAATCTCTATGCCATGTTCGTAAAGAAATCTGAAAATTTATTGTTATTTTTAAATGGTTTTAACTTGTTTAACTTTAAATATTAATAATAATAAAAAATAAAAAAAATAAAAATTTAATAAATTAAATTTTATAAAATTAAATGAGCTAAATATAGTGAAATAAAATGAAACTAAAATAAAATGAAACTAAAATAAACTAAAGTAAAATAAAAAAATTTCCATTCATATAAACCGTTATAAAAAAGTAATTAAAATAAATTAACACAAAAAAAAATTAAATTAAACTTAATAAAATTAAATGGATAAAATAAAGAAAGTAAGATAAAATAAGAAACCGAATCAAAATAGAGAAACAAAATGAAATATGTTATGAAAATAAAATAAACAAACTAAAATCAAATAAAAAACAAAAAAAAAAAAAATTAAATGACATTAAATTAAATAAATTAAATATAATAAAATAAAATTTATAATACTAAAGATTATATTATTAATTAAAACAAAATAAAATAAAATAAAATAAATTAATTTAATTAACACAAAACAAATTTAATTTAATCTTAATAATATTAAATGAATTTATATTAAATAAAATGAATAAAATAAAGTAAAAGAAAAAAACAGCAAAATAAAAAAACGAAGTTAAATAGAATATAAAAAACCAAAATAAACTAAAATAAATTGAATAATATAAAATAAAATAGTATAATATAAATTAAAACGAAAAATTAAAATAAATTAAAACAAAAGAATTGGATAAAATTTAATCAATTTAAATGAATTCAATAAATTAAAATGAATTTTATAAAATGAAATAAAATAAAATAAAAAAACGAAATAAAATAAAATATAAATATTAAATAAAAATTATAAATAAAAGATTAATAAATATGTATGAAATAAAGAAAAATAAAATTTTTATTTTTTTCTTCATTTTTTCATTTTACTTAAATTGATTTTACTTTGTTTTCCTTGTTGACGTTTCATTTAAACATGTTTACCTGTAAATGTTGGCGGTGAGACTATAAATAATTCTCAATTAACTCATAAAAGACATCATACTTGCATATAATAAGCAATGCATTAAATTATGAGCATATTATTCACGTTGTGAATTTTTAATTTGTTGGGGATTTTGTTTTATTTATAATCGGTGTGGTTTTTTTTTAATAAAATCAATTTTGTATGCTTATCACGCACATCTTTAGAAAGAGTAAGTGTCATTTGAATCGCTACGCAATTATTGTTTTACTTCTGCCACCTGTGTAATTTTTTATATTTTTTAACTGACAACTGTTTGTCTTCGTTTGCATTTTTTGCTTACTATTACATTCTATCAACACTAGAGCTTTAACCTCCCACGAATTACCTGTCACAAAGTCTAAATTTATTCGACAACCACTAAGCGAAAACTTTACAGTTAAACTGAAGCCGTCTAAAGCAATAATCTGAAGTCTACTGGCATCCACATACACACGATTATACATATATTTATAACCAGGTCATATACATATTTACACTCATGCAACCAGTGATCAAAGCGCGCTGAGAAATGTAAATAAAAAGTGAAAACTGCAATAATGCTCATTTACATGTTGATTTATTTATTTTTGTTTATTTGTGCAATTGAATAAATGTTTATTTATTTAGCATTTGTCTTTTGTGTTTTTTCTTTGCTTATTTTATTTTTGTTTCAAAACAATCAAAAGCCACTCAACAAGTCACATATCAAATAATACAATTAAAAATATCTCGTTCTTATAAATATTACGCGAGTGCGATAGCAATAATAAATATTAATGAATGAGCTATTCATTATACATATACATACATATGTATTCGTATGCATCTTCATTTTATGTATATATGCATGCACAGTTGGCTGAAGCTTAAAACTGATATAACGACGGGCCAGATTTATTTGTGATAATGAAAAATTCGATATATTAGGTATAAATGTTTCATACTGTATAGAAGTTCGTGCTATAAGTTGAAGGGTAATTTTTCGAATTTCAGTTCATCCAAAATCTAAACAAGTCTTTTTTCTAAGCTTTCGCTGGTTAATTGGAAAGGGGCCTAAAGTGTCTAGATGATCTTTACAGTATGGTAAAGTCAAGATCGCTAAGTAGGAATGGGCTACTGATACCACCTCTTACTAATTAAGTTTAAAATAAAACTCCAACAACTTTCTACAACGAAGTAGTGTAGGTAGATTAATGAGCCCTAAACGACCGTTGTAAGAAGGCAGGTTGATAGTGCGGACTCCATCCAACTGAGCCATGTTCCTAAATGGGTCTAACAAGCAAGATAAAGAAAAATTTGGTAATGTATTTGTTATCCGAACGTATAATGCAAGCTAAAACGTATTTTAGAATGAAGAACCATCATTTATATGTAAGGGTCAGGGGTGACTGTTGTGAGGAACGCTAGATGTGGCACATAAGCTCTCTAACGACGTACTATAAACCAACCCTTTCGACTAGAATTTTAAGAAGGTAGTAATGAAGGTCTGCAAGTTAACCAGCTTGTAAGATCGAAACAAAACATAGGGAGGTGATCTGGTAAGTCTACCATTACCAAGATATTCACAACACTTCAAATCTTGGAAAATACCCACAAAAAGAAGATCGACACATACCACATATTTATGGACTTTAAGGCAGCATTTATACGGCTGTGCCAACTGCTCCGTCATTATTTTGGCCTTATCTGTATCGTCGGAGTTCTCGTAAGGCGTAGTCCGATAAGAATTCTTTCGATATGACTTCGGGTTCTCGCGGATACCTACTTTCGTAGTTATTTGAAGAATTGATTGATTCATTTATTGATTGATAGATTTTTTGTAAACGGTTCTGGGGCTCAGACTTAAAATTCTCGCATCCCATACGTGAAACAACCAGACGGGTTTAATGAAAAAGGCCAATATATTTTAGTCGCTTTATATAACAAACGTATCTTACAATCGAAAATTCTAGTAATCCTGCGGAAGTCCAACATTCAAAAAATATCAACCGGAAGATCAAACGCTCAACAATGATTTTCTTTCTGACTAGAAGTTTGGGAATGACTTAGAAGAAAACACTTGTTGCTGTTGTCATTTAAATTTTTTTTACACTTATTGGAAAGTGCAAGAAGCACAAAAAGAGGCATAATAACGGTTCCATTTACCGCTTGAGTAAAAAGACACTTATGAATTGAGTACAAGCGCTCTGTCCCTTCCCACTCACGCTCACACTCCCACTCACAATATAACCCCTCTAATTGTATTCAAGTTCATTTGGCAGACGAGAGAGCGCGAACGCTTTTATTCGGAACAATAAGAAAATAAGTCCAAAGAGAAAAACGAAAATAAAACAAACAATTTAGAGCTGTTGACGTGATTGTTTGTCGGCATGGCACGCCGACCTTGTTCCACAATACCCCACTGGCTCTCCGCAACGTACAAGCTAACGGGGATTCCACCAGCGTTGAATATTTCATAGCAATAGCGAGTGATTCATTCGCTCAAAATAAAATTCGCACGCGCTCAGTTCGCGCTTCGCTCAGAGGCGCGGCAAAATGTTAACCGGCTGGCGATCAGCTGCGTACGGCGTGTTTATTTAGCATTTTTAGCTGTTAAGCTTAGCATATATTTATAATTAGAGGTACATACTCGTACTACATGTTTGAAGAGTTTCATTTTTTTGTTCGCACACATTTCGCTGAATATTTGCTTTTTGCTCCGGATTTGTGACGTATTTTGAGCAGTCGTACAAGCTTTTAGCGTTTATTGAAATTCTACGAATTTTCGATGATGTGTATGTGCCCGGTTGGGGTTAACAATCAGTGATTGCTGATCACTGATCATAGCGAACGCACAATTAATTGTACAAATAATTCAAATATGATATGTGCAGGCATAGTTGTTGTACTCTGTACATGATGTTGGTTATTGTTTATTTTTTAAGTTTTATTTGTAAAAGATACGTAGGCATATGGTTATTTTTAGGTCTATGTGATCATGATAAGAGTCAATAATATTTACAAACACTATACGTTTGGAATTGCCCGCTTGATTAAAACTAACTACTAATATTCAGTTACGTTGTGCAGGTTGGGTGGGGTATGCAACGTTCGCCACATTGTCACGGACTTCGCATATTTCTGCAGAATTTCCGATTTGAGTTATTTGTCAAGTGCTATTATTTCCAGGCAAACAAGGCAATACTTAGAACTTGGAGCAGGGGGCGAACTCAAGCAATTCCATGTAAAAAAACTAAATTAATAAAACTGAGTCCAATAACTCTTGGAAGTAGTATGAGGTCATCCACAGTTGGAACTAATAGAGAGAAAGAGGCAAAAACTCATGGATGTTAACAAGGTGACACCTGTGGGCGAGAAGGTGCATTTATTGGAGCTTTATGGGTGTGCATGTAAACCTGACTAAAGGGGATTTATGAGCTCTTTATTTTAAGGCGAGTAACATAAAGAGCTTTGCTTTACTAAATACGAATAAAACCCAAAACAAACAAACTAAATGTAGTTTTAAGTAAATTAAATCAAAATAAAATAAAATAAACGATTTTAAAAAGGAAAATAAGTTAAAAAAAATTAAAGAAAAAAAAATAAATTTAAGCAAAAGCAGTAAATAATGTAAAACGAAAACAAAGCAAAATAAAAGAGGGAATAAAGAGAAAGAGATAATTAAAAATAAAAAGAGGGAAACTTAAAATTCAAATTAAACCAATTAAATGAAAAAATTTTTTCTTACTTAAATGCAAAGAATAAAAAAATATTATGAAATGAAATAAAATAAAATCAAACAAATAAAATAAAGTCAAATAAACTAACGTATATAAAAATTCAAATTTAAACAAAATTAAAAAAGTTAAAAATAACATAATCAAAAAAATTAAATTCATTAAAAAGATGATATATAAATTAAGCCATTTACGATAATTTAAATAAAATTTATCTAAACTAAAATAAATCAAAATGTATGATGTTTTGACCTAAATACACAATAAATTAATATAAGTAATAAAAACAAAACAATATAATATAAACTAAAATAAAACCTAGCCAAATAAAATAAAATAAAATAAAATAAAATAAAATAAAATAAAATAAAATAAAATAAAATAAAATAAAATAAAATAAAATAAAATAAAATAAAATAAAATAAAATAAAACAAACTGAAATAAAGTAAAATATAATAATATAAGCTAAATAAAATAATATAAATTAAAATAAAATAAAATAAAATCAATAGATTAACTAAATGGTTCAAATGTACCTACCTTTTTGCCCTTAGCTACTTTGAGGAACGCGTACGATTTTCCATGTTTGGCCCATATGTTTGAAAAATTTTTAGGACCCATATACGGATGCAAGCTAATTCTCTTTAAGGTTATATTTCCACGCAATTCGCATAGTACCTGAAAGAAAAATTATATCATTTGTATTTTAAATTTACTTTGTTATTTAATGTTATATAACTATTATTATTTTAATTTTATTAATTAAGCTACGAGGCCTGGTTGTTTGTATGAATTGAATATTTGTTATACAACAAAGAATTAATTAATTAATTGTTATATAAAATATATTTTGTTACCCTTATTGTTGTTGTTTCTTTAAAATTCTTAAATATTATCTATACAATACAATCCCTTAAAATTATTTCTGCGTTATGCGTAATAAAATAAACAAAATTTTATGAATGAGTTAATTTTTATAGTAAATCTAATTTTCCTTACCCTTGCCTTATCCGCACGGCGTGGTGGTTTCAGTGAATGTTGCTCATCCGCACCGACATATTGCCCACAAATATTGCTCCGCGTTAAGAGCGTGGCTTCTATAAAGCTCAAGGATGAAAGCAGGAAGATCAAACAAAGCATTGCTATGAGAGTTGGATGTAGAGGAAAATTGCGTAATAATTGGCAAGAATGAATCGGTATTGAAGATACTGGAGACGAAACTTTATCTGCTGGAATTGTCGTTTGCTTAGCGGGCTCAGAAATAACAACATCTACTGGCAGTAAAGTTGTAGTAGACAATTCTATAGTTTTCATTTCCATTGCACATTCGCAAAATTTAATACTGCTTTCACTTGGTTTCTTTTCCGTGTACAGTTTCTTCCGCCGTAAACACAACTCAGGTGCAGAAGCGCCACAAATCAATCTGCGGTGAGCACACTCTCTATGGCTTGTTGACTGCGCAGCGTCAGTGACTGTAATTAAATAATAAATCAAAAGTTGAAATTCAACATCAATATTAAGTGAGGTGAGTAAAGATTTATTTAACTGTACAGCACGCGACTATTAGCGCCACAGCTTTATGCATTTAATTTACTGCTAATTAAAATCTAGCGTTGAAATTGTAAAATGGAGATGTGAGCAACTAAACAAATAAAAAGTAAAATCAAATAAAAATAGCTACCTGCTGTCGGTATTAAGCAGTAGCAGGCGGCATACAGCAAATTTGATGGAAAACACCAAAATAGTTAGGGATTTTCCATGTGCGCGTGCCCGCTCGCATTGTTGGGGGTCATTATGGAATGCAATGCCCCCGACAGTTTTACGATTCCATTAGGAATACAACAATAATTCAAACAGCGCAAAAATAACTAAATAGTAAATGTTGGCTTTAAAATTGAGTGAAATTGTGGCGAGCAGAGGTTTTAAGTTTAGTGTTACTGTAAAGTAAAATTTTCGGGGATTTTTCTCTGAACCGCCTAATGATCAGTGCATTTCGCCAAGGAATTATATAATTTTATTGTGACTTAAAAAAATGCCACAAAAATGCAAATTTTATTAATTGATTTAAAATTAAAATTATTGTGCAATTCCATTAATCTGTGAATATATGGAAATTTACTGGAATGCGCAAGCAAATTGATCACATGTATGAGCGTAAGTGCATTAGAGCGGATCAGGTTGTATGAAAAGATTTCTATTATTTTCTTCACTCTTTCGAATAAATTGTGAAAAAAAACAAAAGCTTTTAACTGATAAAAATAATTGACTGTCATATGAAATATGAAGATTTCAATAAAGAGGAGAGTGTTTGACAGGCAAATTAGTGAACATTTAAAACCAAATAACTCCAAAACAGTCTTTTAAAGCTCCACTGACTGATTCTGTCTCTAAAGTCAAGTTAGTGAAAATATTTGAAAGCAGCTCTATAATCATAACTCTGTAAAGCCCTTTCTGGGCAAGTGGCGTGGGGACCAACATGATTGAAAATATCACTTATATGATTCGACTTAAATTCTTTTCAGGAAGTGAACCGATTTATTCCAAAGAGAAATATTGTGCGTAATGGATATATTTTTTTCTAAATGAAATAGGTTTCCTTCCTGGATACGGACCAGATGCCATAAACTAAGTACGACTTACTCGAAATATATGTGTATAAAATATTTTCTTTGCGGATTTGCAAAATTAGAATTTAGCATACTTTGAATATTAGCATAAATCGAGCATAGTTATGTTCGGTCAAATTGTTTTACTGTGACAGCGCGCATGGTAACTCAAAATGCTATTTATGCAGACTTTCCGAATTACTTCTCAGCGTACAGGGTTCAATCAACATGAAAAATTAATTAATCTAATTGCGATCGCCCCTCAAAGAGCAATGTTAAGCCTTCCGAGTGTATTTCTAGTACCCTTTTTAGCTTTTCGGTGGGGGCTTAGAAAAACTTATGGTTCCTCCATTACAACAATTTGAATGAGAAGCTCAGCACAACCTCGTTACAGCGATTACCAAGCACCAATATAGCGCCGCACTAGAGACGAGATATAAAATAAAGTATTCGAAGGAAGACCTAATCGTTTTAAGCAATATTATCACGAACTTACTGAGGGTATTGAGGGCTGAGAATGAAGCGAACTTGTTTAACAAATGACTTAACTAGTGAATAAAAGGCCACGACTTCCTGTCTCGATTAGTGCTCGGGAGTATCGATCGGTGCAAATAGCTTTGTTTGTGCATCGAAACGAATATTCTAAGATTTTCATGTTACAATTTCAGTAATATTTGATATGAGTATATTACTTTGCGAAAAAAAATTGAAATAATGAAGATGAGCAAAAACAAAACACTTTTCCTCAAACTGCTTAAAAAAGACACCAATATTCCAGTAATTAACATTGAACAGATCTGTTAGCGTTCGTCATGAAAATATTCGAGATAGTTGAGAGTCAAATTTATTTATGGTTGCTTTATAAAACCATCAGATCGAGATCCAACTATCAGTCGTTAGCAGAATAGACGAGATGCCAGTTAATAATTTGTAGAAAATTTATTGAAGCAATGGTGAAAATTACATTCCAATAAACGATACAATTCTGCTCAATGTCATATTATCTATGGCATAGGTATATACAATTTAAGTTTGAAATATTTTACCAAGCCATACCACCACCCGCTAAGCCAGCACTACTAAAAGTCTTGGATAATACTCTTTTTACTGAGATTAAGTACTAATAATCTCAGTTAGCCAAAACATGACAGTAAGCTCAATGAGAGAGTTCAACAGTGGCTGGTAGCCTCATAGCAGGTACAATATTGCCAATTCACTTAAATTAGCTGGAAATTATTCCGATTTTCTACCTTATTAGAGACACAATATCCAACTATTGCTCTGATATTCCGATTTTCTCAAAATCCACAATCGTCATGGATTAGAAGGTCACAGCCCTCTGGAGAGTCATCACACAAAATTCTGACGGAGTAGGTTGTGGAACCCACTCACTTATACACCAAATAAGTATGAGCACGAGACTATTAGTACTACCAGAGCTAGCGATAGTGAGTATTCTATTGAGTACTCACAATAAATAATAAAAACGATGCTAAAGCGCACACCATATGGAAATGGAATATTACTGTTATCATGTTTGAGGCAATATGAACGACGCAAAAAAAAAGGATCAACTCTGTCACCAATGAGTATTGTCACTGCAAAGTCTTAACCATAAGATCCTTGGAAAGTATTTTTCTGACCGTATTGCTGAGTAAGCCTCAATTTACATTAGAAATTTCGGTGTACGAAAAACGAATCCCTCATTCGACTTAAGGTCTTAAGGTTTGATTAACAACCACATCGGCCCAACTCAAGTAATTAGAAATTTGTACAATTTGAGCTTCGTGAGATTTACGGCTCTGACAGAGTTGACGAAATCTGCCGCAACCAAATCACGAGATTCAAGTTAGAGCAACGTCATCAGTTGACGTAAAATATTCAACTCAAAAACTATTATTACGTAAAATAGGAATTTTTTCTCAATTTATTTACTTTATTTGTAATTCATAATTTTTAACTTTTTCCAATGTATCCAAATGCTTTATTACCCTGCATATGTACGCAAAATTATGAAAGATATGCTAATTTAATATTTGAGGAATTTCCTAAAGCTCTTAGCAACTTAAACGAGTGCTGAGTTGTAATTCTTTCAACCGACCTACACTACTAATAACTCGTTCCGGCAACATTTCTAACAAGCTGTAATTGGCAAATAGCTGATATTACTAGTTTTTTTACAGCTCACTCTAGATTAGTGCGATGATGATGGCGACATGATGTCTGGTGTTAATAAAGAACAAGAATAAAAAAAATTAAGAATGGAATGGGAAAAAATTAAAACAAAGGTGAGAACAAGACTGTCATGCTTAATTTGCAATTTGATTTGATTTTTATTTGAATTTTGTCACGATTTAGCTATATGAAATAAACTGTTTGTTATGAGTTTTTTATATACAATATTTTTGGCATAAATAATTTATTTAGTAAGCTAGCACTAAAGAATTTTTGACAAAATGAAACGTAACAATTTTAAATAATTTTTCTACATTTCACAGGTGGACTGTATTAAATCATATAATTTAGGGCATGCTGAGCCATCGGTGTATCGAATTCTAAGAATTTCACCACATGTTGTAAAACTCAATTAACGGGCTCACCGGTTAAGAAAAAGTAAGCAGAAATGACTCATTTGAAATATATTTGAAGTAAAATTTCAGTAATAATATTAAGTAAATTTATAGCTACGATTAAAATTATAGCTCAAGCTAAATTTAATGTTCGATCGAAAATAATCAAACAAATCTAGCTTCAGTATTAAATTAACTTCTGTATGAACTAAAAAAGTTGGGAAAAAATATTATTTAAACTATTTGTTTTGGAACTTGGAAGTGATATTTTTTTTTCAAAAAAGTAATTTCGGTTGAAATTTTGGTTTGTCTTACTTACTCGGCAATGTTGTAATAATAAAAAACTTGCTTTAACTATTTCAGATGCTTCACACGACCTCAATCACCAGCAGCATTTCGCTTTACAAGACTCATCACAACATTGGAAACTTCTAATAATTTTTGATACTAAAAATACTTTCCTTCCCTTCCTTTCAAACGGTTTTTCCCGGGTTCTAAGGGAGACTAATACCTCAATCAATTTTTTCTAGGCTTTGCGCCAAAAACCGTAAATTTAATATAAATGAATTGAGCTATGCGAAACCCTAGGATTTTAAAACACAACCGAACTCGAAAGCGACTTGGCTAAGGATTTGTTCGAATGTTTTCGAGCAGCTCCCGTTTCGGCGTGTTGAGCAATTGCACTTTCTTCCTGGTTCACCGCACGAAAAATTTTCAAGCATGGCAGGATTTAAAAAAATGGCTTGTTACTCGCGTACCGAATGTCCTGATAGTTGCATTTGCTATGAACGAAATATGACTAAGGTTCAGCTATGCTATTTGACTTAGATACTCAACTATTCTCTTTTCACTTAACAAAATCAGTTCGGTATCGCATAATCGATACAAACCTATCTTCGGTAGTTGTTTTATGCTTATTTGTTTGATAACAAAAAATGGATTTAATTTCGCAAACTATTGCTAAGTACACGTCAGGCGGCTTATGATATTTACAAATATTATGAAATTAACAGGTTCATCAGCTTGAGGGCCGGTTAGGAATTTAGTTATCAGTTAAGCAATAGATTACGTCTACACATGTTGATAAGATACTCTAGTGTTGGCAAAAAGTAAGTTGAGTTTTTAATTTGAGCTTCGCACATTTAATATTTCAGGTTAATCCTTTTTTTAATGTTCTATTGACCTCTACGTTAAATTTCATGGCAATATCATCTTTGGTATTTTAGTAACGCTTGTGTTTTCTAAACGACTGAAGCTGCCTTCGGGAAATTTTGAAATGTCTGATTTAATTGAGCAAAGAAGTGCGATCAAATTTTGTTTACGG